TTGACTATTCTGATACACCACAGCTGCCTAGTTGCTTTGTATTTTTTGAGCCATATTGTCATATTTGTCATCATCATACTTGTCATACTCATCTTCATCATCATAGTCACTATCATCACCATTGGAATTATTAGAAGAAAAGCAACAAACTATTTAATAGTATATTTGCCAAGTTTCTATAGAGCAGATTTAGACAGGAGAACTAAAATAACTTTCCAAATATAACTTGGGTCCATTATTTCTCAATTGCTTCTGATATGCTTGTTGCTTGAGATCTTAGACAATCATTTGGTTGTTGTTGGCTTCTTTGCACCTCACTTGTCATCAGTAAAGAGTTGTGGCTATTTTGATGGTAGTCAAGGTAATTTGAATTTAGATCTTCTAAAGTTTCTTCTCTTTTAACAATTTCTCACATTTCTGACAAGTGATATTTAGAGTGGCAGACCGTTTCAAAGCCCAGACTTAATGCAGAGGAAAATGGTTTAGAAAATAGAAAAGTTTTATCAGACCTCCCAAATTTAAAGACCCAATCCAAAAATGGGCATCTGAAATGAACAGACATTTCTCAGACAAAGAAGTAGAAATAGCAAATAAACACATGAAAAAAATGTTTACCACCATTGGTCATTTGAGAGATGCAAAGGAAAACAACACTGAGATTCCACCTCACCCCAGAAAGAATGGCTGCCATCATGAAATCAACCAATAACAAATGCTGGCAGGGCTGTGGGGAAAGAGGAACCCTACTCCGCTGCTGGTGGGAGTGTAGACTGGTGCAAGCACTGTGGAAATCAGTATGGAGATATCTCAAAGAAGTAGGACTAGAAGTCCCATTTGACCCAGCTATTCCCCTGCTCAGTATCTTCCCTAAAGAATTAAAAGAATCATACCACAGCAATATATGTGCACCCATGTTCAGAGCAGCACAATCTGTGATGGCTAAAACTTGGAAACAACCCAATTGCCCATCAACTGGAGACTGGATAACAAAAACGTGTTTTTTAAAAATTAATTTTATTTGTACATTTTAGGTATACAATATAATGACATTCATCCTTGGAAATTTGCACCTTTACATAATTCATCTTGGTCCTTATTTTTTCCCCGTTTCCCTGCCCTCCCTCGAACCCCTCCATCCCTCCCTATTTGAAAATGTGTTTTTTAAAAAATAAAATGGAGTACTACACAGCCATAAAGAATGATAAACTAGAGACATTTATAGTTAAATGGATGCACATTGAAGTGATACTCTTAATTCAAATAAATAGAACACACGTGTAAATACTGAATAGTTTCTCTAGTGTGAGAAACTGAAAGTATAAATAAGGACTAAAAGGTATAATAGATAATGTGAAATAGGAAGAAAAGGTGCAAAGGGGACGGGGAAATGGGAGGGATAGGGGAAAAGAAAGAAGGGAATGTAATTAATATGAGAAAATGAAAAAATGGAAACAACATCTTTGTAGATAGCGAGGGGTTGAAGGGTGGACAGGGGAATGGGGAAAAAATAAGAACCAAGATGGATTATGTAAAGATGCAAATTTCCAATGATGAATGTTATTATATTGTATACCTTAAATGTGCCAATATAATTAATTAAAAAAAGAAAATAGAAAAGTTTTAAAATGTGAATGTTTACATCCCTATACCCATTATCTTCATTTTCTAAGTGCAGAATGTGAGTGTTTTAAATTATAAGGCAAGGGAAATTGCTATAGATCCATTTCATTTTAATTAATTTCAAGAGCAGTTTTATGTCCCTGGTTCAGAAGAAAGGAGAAGACATTGCTGGGTGGAGTGAGAATGAAGAAACATATGTGTCTCTTCACTCTTTTCTGTTTCTTCAGATGTTACTTGAACTATCTGCCATGGGGATAAGCAGCATGAGGCAAAATATTCTGTGTTTAGAATATGTTCCCTAGTAGAGTGGATGCTCCTTCAAAAAATAAATAAATGAGAAAAGAAGGGAGAAAGAGAAGAGAAGAAATACAAAAGATAAAGTAGTTGCAGAAGTTGCAGATGTTTACAAGATGCTCGGGGAGTGGATAAAACCCCCCAAATGAACCATGTTTTATTAAGAAATGGCTGTTTGACATCACATGACAGTTCTCCTTCTTTTCACTTTGTTGATGATATTATTACTATTATTACTGATTATTATTACTATTTCTCTCCCTACTTGTATAACTTTCAAGTTGCATACTGGAACCCTAAAAATGTACTAAGCAGCAAGGATTTTTTCCAAATTGCTATTTTCGAATAATTTAAAATTTACTTCTAAGTTGCATAAATAGTATTTGCATGCTAAACTGATGAATACATTTTTCCCAGAGGCCTCATTCAAATTTTTCCAATTGTTCTAATTATGTCTTTATGGCAAAAAAGTCCAATTTAATGTCATACATTGTACTCAGTGACCTTGTCTTATCTGCTTTTAGTCTAGGAGAGTCCCTCATGCTCTACTTGACTTCATGACCTTCACATTTTTGAGGCCACTTATTTCATGGAAATTCTCTAAATTTTTGTTCTCTGATAGTTCTCTTGATTATAACCAGGTTGTAAATTTGGGGTTGAATATTAGACAAGTGTTGTGTTCTTTTCACCATTTTCCATCAGTTGCCACGTTACTGATACATGATACTGATTGGTATTGTTACTTCTGAACACTTGATTCAGATAGTGTCTGCTAGGTTTCTCCACTATAAAGTTTACTTTTCTTTTGCTTAGTAACTAATAAAAATTTATGTAGAATGGTACTTTGAGATGATGTAAAATCCTGTTCTTTAGCTCACATTCACCCAATAACTTAAAAATTCATTGTTATCATACCAGACTTTTCTATTTATTGGCAAAACAAAACTTTGTTTTTTCTATTTGTCTATTTATATCAACTGGATTTTTTTGTGTAGTAGGTAATAATCCATTATCTGATACTCAAATTGATCCTGGTTTGTTCAGTGGAAATGATATAGTTTTTGTTTGTTAGTTCATCCCCTCTAAAATGCAGACAAAAATGCTTTCAACTAATACTCTGGTGCCAAATTGCTAGGCTCAAGCCGGGGAAGAACAGATTCTGGCTATGAGGCCATCCACAAAAGCATGGCCCGCTGGGGCAATTCATAGAGGTCAAAGTGAAGAGCACCCTTACCAGTCATGTAAGACAAAGAGTGAGGGGCAGAAAGGAAGGCATAAGTCTTAAACAAGAGGAAGGAATAACAAGGGCCAAAAAGCTGATGATAAATACTCCTGAGAGGAGCATTCATTAGCTGAACATGTACTTAATGAAGGACCCAGTAGAGTTGTCCCTCAGCATCCATGGGGATTCAGTTTCAGGACCCTCTTGAGATACCAAATCCATGGATGCTCAAGTTCCTTACTAAAGTGGCATAGTACTTGCATATAATCTGCCAACATCCTCCTGTATACTTTAAATGATCCTAGATGACTTATAATACCTAATACAGTGTAAATTGTTATATCATTTGTTCTTTTTTTTGGTACTGGGGATTGAACTTGGGTCCTTGCGCTTGTGCAGCAGGTGGCGAAACCACTGAGCTAAATCCCCGGCCCTGTTATACCATTTGTTTAGGCAGTAATGACAAGAAAAATGTTGTGTATGCTCAGTACAGGTACATTTGGTTTTGATTATTTTTGGTCCAAGGTGGTTGAATCTACCTCTGAGGAGCCCACCTCATGTATACAAAGGTCTAAATACAGATTCCAGACTTTGCTTGCTTTGTGGATACATAAATGAATGTCCATTTTTCCTGTCCTGAAGAAGCTCTTATTCTAGTAGAAGAGGGTCATACCAATAATTACTATACAGGGTGTCCCAAAATTCTTCATATAGTCTTTAGATTTAAAAGTTTGATAAGGGTTGTTAAATTACTTTTCATAGTGTTTACACCTATATGCAATCAGAGTTGGAAAGTGATTTCTAAATACTGCTTTTAAAACCGCAATCACACAATACCTTATGTACTTGAAAGGCACAACTTAAGAAGGATTTAGATAAGAATTTAGGATCTAACTAGGATATATTTTTCTTATTTTTCTTCCCTTCTTGGGTTGTTAAATAAATCCCAAGGAAACAGATACTGATTTTTCTGAGAAAAAGCCAAAGTGCCTCCTGGCTGTCTTTCCCTATATATTGATGGTGCTGGACTGGATTTCAGAGGCTATGGAAAATAATTGCAGTTAAAGTACTGTTAATGTGTTAATTTTTGTAGTACTCACTCACTATGCAATTTTGGAATGGCTATTGAAAGTGAGGGTGGTTTATTTTCATGTAGGGTTGTGTGGACTTCACAAAGTCAGGTCATTTCACAACAAGCTTCTCTATAATAGACATCTATTTAGAGAATTTAGTAAAATTTGGAATTACTCTTAAGGGGTTAAAATAAATAAACAATGATGTCTGTGATGATTACCTTTTGCAAATTTTGGTTTTAAAAAGTGGGATCTGGTCATTTCTCCATTACACGTAGGTATAATTTTGTTTGTTAGTGGGCTTTTCTTACTTAGAGTTGATAGTGGATGCACTTCTGATGTGCTTTAGCTCAGTAGAATTTGTGGGCAAAAAGTTGTTCAAAAAGAAAATAAATCCTCATGATGGTGTGTTTGTTATCTCTGCTAATAATTCCTTGGGCAAAAGCTCTAGATTAAGAAAGGAGAAAAGATGGATATTTTGGAACGGTTTACTCTTCTAGACCCCAAATGCCTGGGGATTGAAAAATTCAAAGTGCTTCTTCATCATATTATTTGGATTCTTTGCTTAAATTTTCATTTCATTTAGACTCTATTTTGTGTCTCTTTTATTTAGATTCATGGGATAGAGCTGGGAATGTTGCACTTTAGGAAAAAATGTACTGCTGTCAGTTGACTGTTGGTCACTAGGGCTTGATTCTTTCTGGAAGCGTGGGAGCACATGGGTGGGGGGCAGCAGAGCAGAAGCTCCCTGTGCAGGCAACAGCAGCAGGCAGAGACTGACAAAGTGGGACTGTGGTCCAGATTGCAGTTTATTCTCTTTATTCTCCTAATACAATTTCATTCAGGAGCCTCAACATTTTGAGTCTTATATAGTCAGATCTGAGGACTCATTCTGTTCAATTCATAGTATGGCTTATATTTCATAATGTTGTTAAGACCTGATTATTTGGACATCCTGGAAAATATAGCTTGTGCTCTGAACATTTAAAAGAGAACTGCTATAGAATGCTGAACATTAAATAGACAGCTACTATGGGAAAATCTCATAGAAATAAAGATAGGATCCCATAATCCAAGCATTAGAATTATATATTTGGATGATTATCATATCAGCAGTTTAATATGACCATCTTTTCAAGCACTGAAAATGAAGTAGTGGCACAAGGAACTATTTGTGCATTTTATTACACTGTAGGTTAGCACAGTGACAAGTCAAACCCTTTTGTTCAGACTGGATGGAATCTCATATACCCCTTGTTCGTATCTATTTGGACCTGTATCTTTATAAACAAAAAGACATGTATATAAACATACCAGAATAAGATGTAATGATCACAGAAAGTGTTTGTAAACATTAATGTTAGCATGTGGACAAACATTGATTTAAAACACATCCTTTATTTTAAATAGCTTAGATTTTCTGTCTAGAAGATAAAAGAGAACATTAATAGCTATCACATAATAAGTTTGCCTAGTTGAATGTTAGCACTTCGAAAAACTAATCAATATTCATTACTATCCTGGATTGGAAGATGAAAGGAGTAAATGATCCTTCAAAACTGAAAATGAAACTCTCAGAAAATGTCAAAAAATATTTTGTGCAGTCTCACTTTAAGAGGAAGTGAAAAGAGATCATAAAAGCTTTTTGACATTAAAGGAAAAGGCTGTTGGTATATAATATAATTCAGTTAATTAAAATCTGCTTAATTTGGAATATGTAGCAGAGTAAAGATGAAATGTGTTTTGCTTCTTGGAGCTTCTTTTTAAAACCCTTACATTTAGCAAGAAGGGGATAAAATTCATCATTGGAGTTAGGTTGTGGGTTAAAAGGTGGTATCACTTATTTGCATAAGTTGTAGACCTTATACTTCCAACAACTGCACATGTGACCAAGGGGTTTTCTAGCAGATTATGAATAGAAGTCTATTCAATTTAACTGAAGAAAGACACACTTTCACTATTAAAGCTGAAGCTGAAGCATGAAGGAGAAATGGTGGTCCGCAGGCAAGAAAGAGCTTTCTCAGTAGTGTCATCTTCCTCCTTCTCCTCCTCCCCCACCTGTCCCTCCTTCTCCTCTTCCTTCTCCTCCTTCTGGGTTAAATTCCAAGAATAAAGACTGTTCAATGATAGCCATACAAAGGTTACACAGAGGACTACAGATTAAAAATTACCATTCTAAATCATCTTTTAATTTGGTCCTGAACCAAATTTGTGAGAAACAGAATCTGTGTCAGAATATCAGGGAAAGATTCAAATTAAAGGATGTGAAAATAAACAACTGCATTTTTAAAATTGGAAAGTACAATACATTACTTTCAGAGAAAAAGCACAAGTCTCATTCAAGTTCAAAATGGCTAGGGAGTTAAACTCTAAGGTTTTTGTAGCATTATTGGTAGTATTTGACTGTCCTGGTTTCTATAATCGGATTTTAGCAAGTCTATAAAAAACTTAAAATTTTATATTGTTGCTCATGTGCCTCCAGTATAGATAATGCATAGTGTATGACATCTGGGTTATAGGTCAGATCTCAGCCCTTATTGCACATCCAGGGAAAATTACTTTTTGCATAACACATGGTACAACTTTCAATTCTTAATAGGGCAGGAGGGGTTCAGATATGACTACTTACCCATTCAAAGTGCCCAGATTATATGATTTCCACTTGTTCTGAAATGCCTTCATAATTGCAATCTTAAAATTTATTTCTCCACCATAACACAAAAAGCCTAGCAATAAAAGCAACATGTTCAGGTGAAACCATTCCTTTTTTTCTGGCTATACAAAATATTATTATAGCATCTCTAATACAGGCAGAATGGTAGAGAACATATAATACATTTCCCATGTTTTTCAATTAAAAGAGACATTTTGACATACTGTTCTGACTTTTTCCTTATTCCCTTATAGCTGCAGCATACTCTTAAAATAAACTGAGTAAGGTAACTCAATGCAAATGCAATCTGATGTTAGAAGTAAGCTGCATACGAGACTAAATCAGATACAGGAGCTTTTTCTAAAATAGGATTAAGGAGTGTTTCAAATCACTCAGAATCAATTCTCAAGGGACAGTCTTGTACAAATGATGACACTGGGTTAAGAAAACATTTTTCTTATGAAAAAAATTAGAAGTCAGAGCTTGCCACTTATGTTATCCAAGATAAGTTTGGTGATTATCCTGTAAATGAACATCGATTTTTGTGTAGACTCCAATATTTCCAATCTCTGAAAAATTGTTCTGGTGTCCTGAATGGTCAGTTGAAGAATTATGGCAAATATCTTCTGGTGAAGTGGTTGCTTGTCTGAGAAAACAAAGAGATTGCCTCATGTCTGAGTCTTTCCATGTGACTTTCTTAAACTAGCTTTAACATAGCAGAGAAAAAACCCCCAAGACCTCAAAACCCCGTAATAAATTTCTTGTTACTAGCTAACCCACAAGGTGGCACTAAAGAGAAAAGTGACAATAATGAAGATCCCAGGCAAGACACATACTACATCAATTATGAGAATTAAACTTATTTCACGACATGATCATATAAATTTTAATATGCTGCTAACTCTGAACAGTCATCTTCAGGTCCACTGCTTTTTTCCCAAAGACACTTGTGGAATAAAAGTTTTATTCAATTAAGCAGAAGGTTGTTTAAAAAAGAGTTAATAATGTGATTGATGTTTCTAGTGTAGTTATTTTGTAGGGTAGTTTTGCTTTCTTTTTCCAGGAGCACTGTTTGTTATAAACATGACCATTTCTTGTATAATGCCTAATATTTAATGCTCTCAATATAAATGTAAAAACCCCAACAGTTTTAGTTTACATTTTATAGTACAAGATATATTTAGGATTTTAATATTTGAAGTAATTACATACAACTTTCTAAAAATCAAGCAAAAAGAATTTCGGTCAAAGTGTAATTAAGCTTCAACAATAATTCCTGGTCCTCCAAACACATATTTCTCCTAGCTTTCAAGGCACCTGGGGAGTACCTTCTCAATCTGAGTGAGTGTGAGAGGAATGGATCAGAAAAACTTGTGCACAGAAAGAAAAAAATGTTAATGAAATTGACATAAACTGGGTACATATCTCTATAATCAAACAGGTATGAAGGATCCTCACCTACAGTGCCACAGCATGGGAGAAAGGAAGTCTTTTTCTAGCTAATATCCCTGTATATAAGCAAAGAAAAGAGAAGGACCAGTTCAGACTAAGAAGTTGCAGTATGTATGCACAGGCCTAAAACTTGAAAAAGAAATGCTACATCTTTTTCCTTCATTTTCAATTAGGAATTTAGTGAGATTTAAAAATAATGCAGTTTAAAGGCCAGGGATGCAGATAGGGGTGCTGTGCCTGCCTGGCAAAGTGCAAGGTCCTGAATTCAATCCCTGGTACTGAGAAAAAAAATTTTAATTTCATTACTACTGCATGTCATATATACATTCATGAACATATATCTTGTCAAAATTTTCTAATAGAAAGTATATTTTTCATTTGCAAATGATTGCACATTTGATCAGAACATGGACTCAGCAAACCTTTATATTATAGATTAGGTTATATTATTGCACACTGTAGTTCGAAATTATTTTTCAGAACTCACATACAGGTATATGACTTCAATATTACTGAAATTTCATTACCTAAAGGAAAAAAAACTTGACCATATTTCTAATTTTTATTAACCCATTTACAATGTAACTTTCTACTAAAATTAAAAAATACTGTAATTTCCTGGTTAAAAGCTATATTGATAAGCACTTATATATTAAACAAGAGTCTTATCTGTAGTAAGGGAAGTTGTTAGGAGATAAATAGTACGTTTTATTATTAAAAGAAAGAAGAGGTACTAAATTCTTTGAAGAGAGAAGAACTATGTGGATTAGAAGATACATGTTGAAAATAAAATGGTATAATCTTTACATGACTTTACATTAGTATCTATGGAAGTGTGCCTCTGAAGATGAGACACCATTAAAATCATAATTTTGAGTTAGCAAATAAGATTGAATATAATGTATAATTTTTTATAATATATGTTTTGATGCGTTCAAGGAGTATTATTTCTAAATCATGTAAACTGCTTATTTTGTAGTATGAAAATAAACTAGAGTTCATGCTTTCAACTTGATATTCAATCCAGGATAAATAATGCTACCCTTTTTTATATCATTACTTTACAAAATGATTACTCATCCCAGGGTCCTACTACATTATTATTAATTCATTCCATTTAACAACAGATGGCATGTGTCATGTGCTGGGCACTGCTCCAATGAAAGTGAACAAGATGACTTGGTTCAGTGCTATATTCTTCCTATAGTGCCTGGTACTGATTTCATAATTTATGTGGCAAATATCAATTATGCAGTTGGCTAGTTTATGTTTGGCTTACCTTTCAGGAAACAGTATGGCATAATGTTTAAGTGTACAGGTGATGGAGTAACACTTTGGTTTTGAATTCCAACTCTGCCATCTACTAATTAAATGACTGCACCAGATGCTTAATCTCTCTGAGGTTCACTTTCTTCAACTGTCAAATGGGAGAAATATCAGCATTGACCTTATGATGGTTATTATTATGATTAAATACCACAAAATACTTAAATATTTGGCATAAGTTGAGCCATCGAAAAATTTTAGCCATTATCTGTCATTAATTCTTACTGCCATGTTTATCTAGAAACATGAATTTGCACAACCAATAGTCATGGTAACAGCTAATATTTGTATATTTACCATATATTTGCACATTTCTTGAGCTACTAGACATACTGACTAGCTAAACGGAAAGCTAACAAACTTCTGTTTGTAGACTTTAATGTATATTATTTTTGTGGCTTTCATAAATAAACTATAAACATTTCCAGGATACCTACTTTGCTTTTTATGGAGCTTTCTTATAGAAATTAGAAATCAAAGAGTTTAAACCTACAATTAGAATCCTCCAAAGAAAAATACAACTTTCTTTGGGTCCTAGTACTGTTCTCTGGATATGATACCTAATACTAAAATTGGGAATTGTATCATGGATTACTCAGTCATGCTTTATATTACATTTACTATTTGGAAAGACCTCTTTTATGCTGATAACTGACAGCTAAATCAAGATGTTCCTGTTAGTTGGTGAACTGTAGACATCAGGAAATATCCTTATCTCAATTATGGCTAATCTTAAATGATCCTCTCTCTCTGTCTTCGAGATCTTAAGGAACTTTTTGTTGGGAAGGGAGACTTGTATGAAACCTCTCAACAATGTTGACAAATGTTGGAGAGGGGGACAAATGTTCTGTCATTTTAAAATTGTGCAATATAAAATATTCATGAAATTTTTGTAAGATGAACTTCCTAAACTGAAATTTTCATCAAAGTATTACTATTTCCAATAGTTTTTGTGCTATTGCCACATGGCGGCACCACTTCAGCTGATTAACTGAGACTTGTGTGTGTATTGTCAGCATTGGTCTTCAGTTGTGTGATGGCTATGGGAACACATTCCTATCACGAAATATACCAGCTCTGTTTTGACTGACAGTACAATAAGGTTTATCCCCACATATGCTTTTGCTGGTCAAATATATTTTTATAAAGTCCCTTTCTCCATTAAAGTTTTAGGTTTTAATTGAAATACTTTTTGGTTTTCATGGCAAAGATTAAAAATCCCTTGAGAGCACAAAGAGGGTAGTTAGTGTATGTACATTCTTCTGAATTTCTTTCAAAGAATTTGGTGCTAAAAAATAAAAAAGAATTTAGCGCTGGAAGAGACCTCCAAGTTTGCTTAGTCTAAATCCTTAACATTAACACTTCAAGAAACTGGGTCCTTTAAGTAAGTGGGCTAAGATAACTAAGGAAGTGAGGCCAGAACTAGATTTCACTTTTCTAAGCTAAGTTGTTTCTGGATATGAAGTGTTAACCACACTTGAAGGAACCAAGTAAGTAAGGACACTCAAGTTGTTCTTGTTCATACAAACCAGTAGGAACAGAAAAAAGCAATTCAAGTGTAAAGACTTGAAAACTAGCACAATCATGGAAGATAGTTCATTTTGATTACTTACACATCCAAGGCACAAATTCAATTAAAACCCATTTCTTTTTGGCCTCATGAATTTTAAACATTCTGATTGTATTCATTTTTACAAGTCCTTGAATCAAATATGGCCTCAACATGCCTTTAATGACATTTATTAGTTAAAGGAAGTAATCATAGAATTCTCCCAACAAATAAATGTTTCTGACAGAAATATCGGGCTTTTACATTTTATTCCCCTCTTCAGAGCACTGAGTGACTTGTGACTCTGGCATTAGAAAAGTCAATTCTTTCTCTAATTCAGTGACTTACAATATAGGGGGCAAATTTTAAATGAAATACAAGCGAATAATTTCTTTAATATTTTATTAGATACATAATCTGAAATTTTGCCTTTTTCATTTGAAAGTAGAATAAACATTTTCTTTGAAAATAATATTAAAATTTATTTTACCACCTGCTTGCATCTCAGGGAAAGGGTACTACATACTTTCAGAAACTAAAAAAGGAAAAATCACTAGGATTCTTTCATAACACTGATAAGAGAGGAAGAAATACTTACTTGACCTTGATACTGAGTTTATTGGGTAAAGTTACATTTAAGAGCAATCAATGAGCTAATAAGTTGTGGCTACTTCATGTTAATAAAGTTGAGTCTGTTTCAGTTGGGTCTTGAAAACAATCCATTTGCTAATTTAATCAGTCATTAGGGACTTTACTAATTGATAAATGAATTATTTAATTACAAAATAATTTGAGAGCTGCTTGAAGTACATAAACACATTTATAAGCTGGAAAGAGCAGAAAAAAGCGTTACAGTCTTTTTTTGACAAATATCATTTAGAGAGAAAGAGGTCTTTAAGATCACTTAGTGGGTAGCATCTTCATTTAGGAAGTGGTTCTCAGACTTGTGGGGGTGGTTCCAGAAAGTTCTGATAATTTTAGGTCCTAAATCCATGGTACTTAGATCAGTAATCCTGAATAACCAGATTAGATTTCTGAAGTCAGAGAAGGCTGGTGACCCATGGGAGATTACTTAATTCTGTGAAAGCAATCTAATAACCCCAGCTCCTCAACTCTTAAAATGTACACAGCCAAATACATATGGACAGCAAGAGCATAGGCATTAAAAACAGAGCAAAAAAAAGTAACTTGAACAGAATGTGCCATTTGCCTTGGTCTGTGCTAACGGCCCACATAAAACATGCGTGAAAAACCTACCCTGACACTTGTATTCATCAGCATTTAAAAATGATTCAAATGGACATCTATGATGTATGATATTGAACATGTATCCAATCTGGAAGTAAAGGGAAAAGAACTTCCTTAAACAGTGCTGTGTTTTCCAAGGTTATCAGACTAGGTTGATGTACATTTGGTTTTTCTCCTCAGCCATGCTTCTAAAGCCAAACACAATTTTTTAATTGAACCTTTTCAGCACTCCAAAGCCAGTAGCAATAAACAATTCTTTTTGTAAGGAAAATGATGGGCATTGTTTTTTAAATGCCATCAGGATTTAAAGACACCAAAGAAACATGTAGAAAGGAATTACTTCAATTTCTTCATATTATCTACTTATTTTTTGACTGAAGTCAGTAACACTTTGTTTTGTTAAAAACTAGAGACTATCTCTTCTCTTTAGCTATAATCTTTGGGGAGGCAGTTTTCTAAATATTGTTCTAATAAGAGTTCTTCACACAAATTCTGAGGGTTGCATATTCCATATACTTGTACACACTCTTCACTATAATTTGAAACTCCAATAAACTCAGAAGACTCTTCAGCCAGCCAAAGGTCCCTGAACTTGTTCTGATGATTCTTGCTATCACTTCTTATTGATTCCTGTTCCAACAGTTTTCATGATAACACTGGAAAGCTACAAAAAGTAATTATGGCTGGATGAAATGAAAAACTGACCAATCATGGCATATATTTGTTTACTGCTGTAGTAAGTTTAAAGATATAGGGGCTCATTTCCCCAGTATTTCTCAGTTTTGCTGTTTTGTGTTTTTTAAATTTCGGCCCTACAAGCATTATATTTTAATCAGTTTCCCAATCTAAAAAGAGAACGCATCCTATGGGAATTATGTCTCCTTTCCGTGGTCCTTACTTCCCGAGGGCTCTAATGCTTCATTGCTAGACATTAGTTTAGTGCTGTACACCTGGACACATCACACAGTGTAATACAGGAAGTCAGGCTTTGGAGAATTTATATCAATTTACATACAATCCTCCAAATCCTCAGGCGAGCTTGATGTGAAATCTGACACAGCCGCGTTTCCCCAGCAAGACCTTCCTCTGCTCTCCAGGTTAAGAGCCAAATACTCCAGTGGTCCCTCTGGGGAGCCGCAGTTGGGCTAAGGAGTGGGCAAGAGGGGTGACTGAGGGGCTTGTTGCGCTGATGATTTACAATGTACTTCTCGCGGGAGGCTCAGCAACCCCCTCTGTGGCGGTGGGTGTCTGGTGTGACAGAGCGGAGAAAAGCTCTCTAATCTCCCAGCGTCTGCCTCGGCCCTGGCAGCTCATCCACTCCCCTGCCTCCCGCCTTCCCTGCCTCCTCGCGCTCCCTCGCTCTCCTTTGCCTTTCTCCCGGAGTTTCCGTCCCTGAATGCAGCTGGAGTAGCTTGGGCAATCTGGACCCGGAGTCTGTGTACACACACACACACACACACACACACACACACACACACACACACACGCACACGCACACACACGCACACGCCCTCTCTCCCACGCGCTTGGGCTCTTCTCCCCGGGGAGATGGAACAAACCTTCATCTACCTGAAGTGATGGCCCGGCCGGACACTTCTCCCTTACTTGCCATCTCCTGAGGGCAGAGCAGCGTCTGAAGGAGGCAGGCTCGCCGTCTGGTCTGCAACCTCGCGCCGCCCCCCGCCACTGCTGCTTAAAGTGCTCAGGGCGGAGGAGAAGGCTCCTCCAGGACGCTTCCCCGCTGGCATAGCTCCGCGGCCCGGCCCCGGGACTTGCTCCGAGTGGTTCACTCCGGTCTTCCCCTCCATCACTCTCGGCCATCCTTTCCTCTCCTCACCGACTGCGGGGTGTGCGGCTCGGGCGCCTCCCGAGCTGCTGCCGTCGCCGCTGCTACCGTCGCCACTGCTGCTGCGAGCAGATCCCACCCAGAGGACCGAAAGGCGCGGCTGGAGCGGGGGAGCAAGCGGAAGCCCTAACTTCCCTCCCACACCCTCGCTCTCCCCTGCGCTCTCGTCCTCCCAGCCCGGCTGGAGAGCTCCCGCGGAAAGCTCGGCGTGTCGCGGCGCGGCGCGGGCAGGAGAGCCGCCCGCCGCAGGCGCACAGGGGCGGGGGCAGCGTGCGCCCGGGCGCCGGGTGCTGCCCGACAAGTAGCGCGCGCGGGGCGAGCAGGACGCTCTCCAAGTTGGGCGCCTCTCAGAGCCCGGCGCCCCGCACCTCGGCCGCCCGAGTCCGGAGAGAGGCGGGGCTGATGGGGGGCGCCCGGGCTGCCGTCGCCCGCGGCCAGAGCCAGTCTTGAAAGACTCGGACCGGCTTCCCCAGGGTCCCAGCCCGTGCGGCGCCCTCGGCCCGCGCGCGCTCTCTAATGACAGCGCCGGCGGCGGCCCGGGTGGCCCGCCCGCGGGGGGTGCCGGAGGGGGCGGGGGAAGAGGAGGAGGCGGTGTGATGACCCTGGACGGCGAGCGGGGGGAGCAAGAGGAGGAGAAGAAAAAGAAGAAGAAGAAAAAGAAGAAGGAGGAGGAGGAGGAGGAGGGGGCCGAGAAGAGCAGCTCTCCCTTCGCGGCCACCATGGGAGAAGACGCCCCCGCGCTCCGGGCGGGCGGCAGAGGGCTCTCGGACCCGTGGGCGGACTCGGTGGGAGTGCGACCCCGGACCACCGAGCGCCACATCGCGGTGCACAAGCGGCTCGTGCTGGCCTTCGCCGTGTCCATCGTGGCGCTGCTCGCGGTCACCATGCTCGCCGTGGTGCTCAGCCTGCGCTTCGACGAGTGTGGGGCCAGCGCGACGCCGGGCGCCGACGGGGGCCCCGAGAGCTTCCCAGAGGGCAGCGGCAACGCAAGCCTCCCGGGATCGGCTCGGAGGAACCAGCACGCAGGCGGGGACTCCGCGCAGCCTGAGACGGGCGGGGTGGGCACCCCCGAAACCCCATCTGCCCAGCCGCCGTCGGAAGAGGAGCGGGAGCAGCGGCCCCCCTGGACGCAGCTGCGCCTCTCAGGCCATCTCAAGCCGCTGCACTACAATCTGATGCTCACCGCCTTCATGGAGAACTTCACCTTCTCCGGGGAGGTCAACGTGGAGATCGCATGCCGGAACGCCACCCGCTACGTCGTGCTGCACGCTTCTCGGGTGGTGGTGGAGAAGGTGCAGGTAGCGGAGGACCGGGTGGCCGGCGCTGTCCCCGTGGCCGGGTTTTTCCTCTACCCGCAAACCCAGGTTTTGGTGGTAGTGCTCAATAGGACCCTGGACGCGCAGCGAAATTACAACCTGAAGATCATCTACAATGCCCTCATAGAGAACGAGCTTCTGGGCTTCTTCCGTAGCTCCTACGTGCTCCACGGGGAGAGAAGGTACGAGGGAGGCGGTGCCCCGCGCTGCCCCACCCCGCCGGGCGGCCAGACGCGCGGCCGCTGGGGTCCTGCGGGACCAGGCTGGCTTCCAGTGCCTCAGGAACCGCGGGTGGGGGTGGAAGCCAAGGAGAGGTAGGACTGTGCTCCCGAACCTCCGGGGTCTCTGAGAGATGCCTGATCTCTTACTGTTGCCAACTCCACAGAGTCACCGGTATCAAAAGATGAATGCCGCCCCTCAAGTCGGGACCTTACCCCTGCGGGTCAAAGTTACTTAGCCAGCAGGGAGGGCGCGAAGCTTTTTCTAAGAGTAGCAGGTAATCTGAATGATTCCACAGTGACAGCAAAGGCTTGTCAAGGTACTGTCCAGGGAAAATACCTAAGTGTGGAAGACCAGGGCAACAGCAAGTTTTCAGGGCAAAGCAAGCTAGACACAACTCTTTCCTCAGCCTGGCCCTGACCCTATTATTAGTTCCCTGGCAGGTGCAGAACAGGATGGGCGATGGCTACATAAAGTTTTCCAGCTACATGTTGCGATTTGGGGCAAAAGCGGTATCTAGAAACAGGCCGAGAGAGGCAGGGTGAAGTGGCCATGGTCAAAGCCTCGTAGAAGTGACCTCGTAGCCACTGAGCTCTCTGCTAAGGCTGGGTGACTCCAAGTGCTTGTTTCTGAGTTGCTGCCTCTGAAAATGACAGGGGTGGTAAAGGGAGGAAACGCTGGCAGTCAGTCTCAAATGCCTTGTTAGAGTGTGTCTTTGCTGCGGTTTGGATTTGGGCAGTATTCTATTTTTTAGTTTGAGAGGCTGTGGCACTTTGCACCAGTCGCTTAGAGCTCAGAGTTTGGAACTAGTCGAACTGGGTTTGTATCTTCTGCTTCTCCAGTTGTGGTGAAGGTTTCAGGAAAACGTACAGCATAAATGCCAGTTCTGCCAGTGACTGCCTCACACGCTTATTACCCACTCCTAATGAACTCCATCCTACTAGAATCTTACTGAGTAATGCGAGTCTCAGCACTCCCTATGTTACAGGGAGGAACACGGAGACACGGAAAAGTCGCAAAACATGACCCAGATCACAAAGGGAACTGACAAAGAAGGTAGTTTGGTTTCTGAGCCCATACTTTTAATTCTGACTTGGGGATGATGATAATACTCGTCTTAGGGGATTGAAGCAGATGTTCAGGAGTGAATGCACTGAAAAGCACTTAGCCCTGTGCTGGGAAGTAGAATGTCCATCATGAATGCTAAGTCCCCAGAGTGTCCTGTGGTAGTAGTGAGCCTTTTAATACATTGTGGAATGTATGAAAAAGTGATTCTTGCTCTTTGCTTTAACCCACTGCATTTAAAATAACTTGTTAATTAAATGACTAGAGAACAGATGAACAACCAAAGTGAACTTAAAAGTGAAATTATGAACTTTTAAGTGGGAGCGGGGGAGGGGCTGTCTGGTGATTAGTAATTAATGAGGTGGATCTTCTTTTTCTCTCAGATGATTCTCACAATGCAGAAAACTAGGGCTCAGGGCAGCCCAGGGCACCTGAGGTTAAGCGGGCTTGAGAACTAGGACTTGAACTTTGGTTTGCTCAATCTGGGACCAGGAGTCATAGTATTGGGAAAAGCTCAGAAGAAATTATTGTATAAGAGCCTGGGAAAATTTCAATGTGTTAGGGGAGTACACAAAAGTTTTATTATTTATAGAGTATTAAGAAGTAACTATATAAATAAAATACTTAATGCTTTAGTAGTTGCATGATAGTTGAAACCTTCTATAAGTGAATGTATAAATTATTCACTTTCTAAATTGTAAGATCAGATATGGATATTTTAAGACCCCCTTTACTACTTCCTCCAACATGATCTAAAGAACACAGATTAAAAGTATTTTTTTAAGCCCACAATTATATCAAATAAAAGCCAAATTTGCATGTTCGGTTTTAGAAACAAGCTTGTCATGTCAAAATGTCAATAGTAGGAGTTGCATATCATTACTGATAAATCTTGCTGGTGAAATAAATACTCCTCAAAATCCTGTTTTTTAGCCATGCCATGCCATGCCTAAATATATTTGGCAGAACTAAGTTGGTTTTGGTCAGTGCTTTCAAATGAAGAGGGCTCTTAAAACGACCAGATGTTTCTGTTTGACCCATAGCAGATTTCTTGTGCCTCTAGTGCAAAACTCTCTGTTTCAGTTTTCCCCAAAGATGTAAATAACTTGGATGGAAATTTAACCAACTGCATGTGTGGCTAAACCCTGCATCCCAATAGAAATGCAGGATTCACCGTTCTGGAGATTTCAGCATGATTTCATTTCTAAATAGCATTTTAGTGAAAGCCATCCCCCCCTTCAGTACCAGAGTTAATCTGATAATTTCTTTCTTGTTTCTACTGGAAATGATAAAGCAAAATAAATCTAATAAGCAATCTCACAATTGCGTTAACATTCTATATGTTAAACTTTTGTTACTATGGCTACTTGGAGCATTTTTAAACAAACCAATATCAAGAATTCAGCCAAAGCTGGACTGTTATTGGTGATGATTTTGTTCTCAAAATACATTGCCAGTTGGCATTTTTGAACCCACTTCTTAAAAGGACACAGATGCAAAAAAAAAGGCACAGACTAAAAAAAGGACACAAATGTAAACTCTGAATTTTCATCTGATTAATGATTAAATATCATGATCTTTAGTTATCATTTTGCCAATTTAATTATAGAATAATTTCTATAATGAAAATAAATTTTTATTCTGCCAAAGTGAGTTATATTGAGGAATTTGAAATACTTAAAAGAGTAATACACAACTTAGTCCACTTAGCCTCTGTGGAAAAAGTGACTAATTAATGTTCTATCAATCGGATTATTAGTCTCTTCAGAGATCAGAGACAAAGAATTTTGGTGATAGCAGGAAAATTAGTTTGTGCTCTGTACTATGTGTCTTTGACCCTCAGAAGGCTCTATCCCCTACCCGATATTGGAAGGAGGACCTACTTTTCCTGGTTCCCATACTGTAGTGGATAAAGGTTAGCAGACAAGCTCCCCACTGAAGCCAAAGACTTTCAAACCTTTGGCAAGTCTTCCAATCTTGACTACTCATTTGGCTAAGAGACAAAATTTGGCACTTGTTTAATACTGAAAATAAATAAGTTCTCTTAAAATTGAATGTTTGCACACAAACAGTAAGTTATCTCCATCAGGCAGAACACATACTTTTTCCTCAAGTAGGTGTGCAGCAGGCAGATAAAAGGGTGTGTATTTATTGTCATAGTCTCTTATAGGAGAATACGCTTGCTTACCATTAGGCAAAATGTTCATTTACCTGAAGTAATTACTGCTTTTGGGTAGCCAGATGGTGAGCATACCCATGTTCAAAGTAGGGTACTTTAATTTAGATCCAGGTGGTTGGATTGAAAGAGGAAATTTACCCAAAGTAAATGAAGAGTTTATTCACTTTCAACAAGGAGACTGTTTTTCTTTGACCAACTTTGACTGGGTCTACAACATACTAAAGTGACAGAAGACAAAATAAAAATAAAAATTCTTTTTCTATCTATAAGTGGTTGTTTAGAGAGAATCCATGATCTCTGAGTAGAATGGAAAAATAATTTAGGTTTTCAAAGAGAATTGGGACCACTCTTTGGCAAAATCTTGCAGAAAGCTTGGAAGATTTGGTCTCTGACTAGGAATTTGCTCTTTTTTGGGTATTAATGTACATGGGTTGGTGCTTGGCAATTTTTCAAGAATGAATTAATAGCTATGATATTTAAAAGCAAGAAAGCTACCACACTGCTTTTATGCTGAAAACAGTCCCATTTTTCCTGTTCATTTTGGTGAGCAGATAGTTGTACATGAGCAAGTGGGAGCACATGGCTTTTTCCCTTCTATAGAGGCTGTGAACTGAAAAATCATGAGCACCATTTATTTCTGTGAAAACATTTTATATGATTCTTGATGGACTTAGCTCATTGTTTTTCTGTCAGGCACACATAACTATATAGTGAAACTGTGTCCAGTGGTGGATTCTGGCCACAATTCAAAATTCCACTGATAAACCAAGGCTAAGAAGTACCTGGGTGTGTGATTAAAAAAAACCCTCTGATCATTTAATAATGACTCATCCGGGGATGAAAATTAATGCAATTGGTGCTTGTCTTGCTGTGTCTTGTGGTGTCACCTGATTTGATCACCTTGGAAGTAAAATTATACATTTCTTCAAAAGAGTTAAATTAGATTGTGTTTTTATTTACTGTGTGTAACTTCAAACACAGCCTATGTGTTCTGGATCTCTTTTAAACAAAGATAGATCTGCTACTGGCTTTCCCAATATTTGTTTAGTTGTGCAAAACATATTTATTTCTCTCACCTATTTTTTGCTGTTATGTGTGTGGATAGGCTTCCAACAACACTGCAGCGCAATGGTTTAGGTTTGTTGAAGATGATGAAATTTGGTCACCATGACTACAAGAATAGAACTCACCTCTTCACGCATGACTTTAAAAAGAGGTCTAAAAGTGAGGAAAAAATAATTTCCCTTTAAAACAGAAACACTTCACAGTTTGGAAGGAAGGGCTTCCCTTGTTTACTCCTAAGCTCATTTTCCAACCTCCAGCAGTGATAATCATCATCACCATCACTGCCACCACTACCATCATCCTCGCCATCACTATCATCATTTAAAAAAATTATTTGGATGTTCTTTACATCCTTCCAGAACTAGTAGCCAGGTTCCCCCAGAGTTTTTCCAGTTTTTTTTAAAAATGCCATTCTACTGCTAGAGTGGATGCTGTCTCACAGAGAAAGAACTTCACTGGGGAGAATTTGAGAAAATTCAAAAGTGAAAAATACTCCCCGGTCTTCCCATTTTTCTGATGATGGCTGTGGAGCCATGGGGGTGGAATAAGATTTTATAATTGTGTGGGGCTGAAAGGGGTGAAGGGCCCAGATTCCTCCTCACCCTCAGTTCTCCACCTCACTCTCTTTGCCTCAGGCTTCCAGTGCACAGCTGG